GCTCGTCCTCGCCGCTTGTCGCCGTCACCGCTCGTCGTCGCCGCTCGTCGTCGCCGCTCGTCGCCCGCCGCGTCGTCGTCGTCGCGTCGTCGCTCGTCGTCGTCGCGTCGTCGTCTCGTCGTCACGTCGTCGTCACGCCGCGCAGTGGTCTCGCTCTGCGAGTTGCCGTCCCGAACATGTTAACCCGGGAATTGTCCACCCAATTGTCAACCCGGTTGTCAACCCAGTCCTGCTACGAACACGTCGCGTCGTCGTCGTCTCCTTGTCGTCGTTGTCGTCGTCGTGTCGTCCTCATCGCCGCATCGTCGCCGTGTCGTCGTCGTGCCGTCGTTGCCACGTCGTCGTCGCCGCGTCGTCGCCGTCGCGCCGTCGTTGCCGCAGTGGTCTCGTCTCCGCTCTGCGATTGACGGCACTGCAGCTTCTGTGAAGGCACCTGGGGCCTGCCTGCAGCAACTGTGAGGGCATCTGGGCACTGCAGCTTCTGTGAGGACCTGGGGGCTGCAGCGACTGTGAGGGTACCTGGGGGCTGCAGCGACTCGCCCGTGTCGTCGTCGTCGTCGTCGCGTCGTCGTCGTCGCGTCGTCGTCGCGTATAGTCGTCGTCGCCTCGTCGTCCTCATCTCTACCGCTATCCTCACCCATCCTCTTGGGTCAGGAGTGAGGGGGAGCAATGAGGCCTGGACACTGCAGCGAGGCTGGGGCACCTGGGGGCTGCAGCGACTGTGAGGGGTTGCAGCGGGGGCGAGGCTGTTGTCGTCGCCGCCTCGTCGTCGCCGCGTCGTCGTGTCCCGCCTCGGCGCGGCTCGGTAACGACATTTCGGTGGCGACATTTCTGTGGCGGCATTTCGGTGGCGACATTTCGGTCGCGACATTTCGGTGGCACCATTCGGGCGCGGTCGTTGTCGCTGCGTGTTCGTCGTTGCATCGTCGTCGCCGCATCGTCGTCGCCGCATCGTCGTCGCTGCGCCTCGTCGTCGCTGCGCCTCGTCGTCGTCGCCTCTACCGCTATGTCCTCACCCATCTTCTTGGGATACGTGAAGAGGAACAGAGGCTGGGGCTGAAGCGACTGTGAAGGGCACTGGGGGCTGCAGCGGTCGCGTCGTCGTCGCTCGTCGTCGTCGTCGTCCATGTCGTCGTCACGCCGCGCAGTGGTCTCGCTCTGCGAGTTGCCGTCCCAAAAAAGGCAACCCGGGAATTGCCAACCCAATTGTCAACCCGATTGTCAACCCAGTCCTGCTACGAACACGTCGCATCGTCGTCGTCGCGCGTCGTCGTCGTCGTTGCGTCGTCCTCGTCGCTGCATCGTCGCCGCGTCGTCGTCGTGCCGTCGTTGCCAGGTCTCGTCTCCCGGCTCTGCTGCGAGTGACCGTCGCGCCGCGTCCCGCGAGTGGGATGCACCCCTCCACCATCTTCTCAGCAGCCACCCGCGCAACCTGCGAGCACGCATGCGCGGCGTCATGCATTCGTCGTCGCGTCGTCGTCGCTGCATCGGGGCTCCCCGCCGAAGTGCCCTCACCAAAGGTGCCCCCACTCCCCACCTCCTGCCGCGTCGTCTTGGCTCGTCGTCGCGCCGTCCGCATCGTCGTCGCCTCGTCGTCCTCACCTCTACCGCTATCCTCACCCATCTTGAGTGAGGGGGGACAGTGAGGCCTGTGAGGGAACTCGGCTGCAACGACTGTGAGGGCGCCTGAAGGCTTGGGGCACTGCAGCGAGGTTGGGGCTGCAGCGGCGCTTGCAGCGACTGTGAGGGCACTTGAAGGCTGCAGCGACTGTGAGGGCACCTGGGCACTGCAGCTTCTGTGAAGACATGGGGCCTGCAGCAACTGTGAGGGCACCTGGGCACTGACAGCTTCTGTGGACATTGGGGGCTGCAGCGACGTGAGGGCACCTGGCGGTTGTAGCGACTGTGAGGGCACCTCAAAGCTGCAGCGACTCGCCTGCGTCCTCGTCGTCGTCGCGTAGTCGTCGTCGCCTCGTCGTCCTCACCTCTACTCTACTGCTATCCTCACCCATCCTCTTCTTGGGTCAGGAGTGAGGGGGAGCAATGAGGCCTGGGCACTGCAGCGAGGCTGGGGCACCTGGGGGCTGCAGCGACGTGGGGGCTGCAGCGGGGGCGAGGCTGTTGTCGTCGCCGCCTCGTCGTCGCCTCGTCGTCGCCGCATCGTCGTGTCCCGCCTCGGCGCGGCTCGGTAGCGACATTTCGGTGGCGACATTTCGGTGGCGGCATTTCGGTGGCGACATTTCGGTCGCGTCATTTCGATGGCGGCATTTCGGTGGCAACATTTCGGTGGCACCATTCTGGCGCGGTCGTTGTCACCGCGTGTTCGTCGTCGCCTCGTCGTCGTCGCCTCTACCGCTATGTCCTGAAACCATTCCTCTTGGGTCACGTGAAGAGGAGCAGAGACTGGGGGGCCGAAAGCGACCGTGAGGGGCACCATGGGGGCTGCAGCGACTGCGGACCTGCAGCGACTGTGCCGCCTCCGCGTCGCATCGTCGTCGCGTCGCATCGTCGTCGTCGCGTCGTCGCGCCGTTGTTGCCGTGCCGTCGCGAAGTATCCGCACTGGTATCCACGACAGTATCCACACTGGTATCCTATCCACAAAAGCCAGCCCCTATCCCCACCGGAATCCTCACCCCGCGGCCCTCACCACCAGTCTGGTCACTCGCGCAGTCGTGTCATCCGTCCCCGTCTCTGTCCTCACCGCTATCCTCACTAACCGGAATCCTCGCGCTATCCTCACCGCCCCTATCCTCACTCCCTGGCCCTCACCACCATGTGCACTGCTGGTCGTCGTGCAGTCGTGTCATCCGTCCCCGTTATCCTCACCTCTACCCCAAGCCCTCACCTCCAGTGCTGGTCGGCGTGCTGTCGTGTCATGCAGTCCCCGCCCATATCCTACCAGCAGTGCTGGTCGTCGCGCGTGTCATCCGTTATCCTCACTGCTAACCTCACCGCCACCGCCTCGGTGGACATTTCGGCGGAATCATTTCAGTGGCAACATTTCGGTGGCAACATTGTGTGTCGTCGCCTCGTCGTCCCGCCGTGTCGTCGCCGCGTCGTCGTCCTCGTCGCGTCGTCGTCGTCGCCGCGTCGTCGTCCTCGTCGCGTCGTCGTCGTCGCCGCGTCGTCGTCCTCGTCGCGTCGTCGTCGTTGCCGCGTCGTCGTCCTCGTCGCGTCGTCGTCGTCGAAGCGTCATCGTCGTCGTCGTCGTCGTCGTCGCGTCGTCGTCGCGTCGTGTCGTCGCCGCGTCGTGTCATCCGTCCCCGCCTCTATCCTCACCCCAGGCCCTCACCACCAGCCCTGGTCGTCGCACTGTCGTGTGTTCGCCTCTATCCCACGGCTATCCTCACCCCCCGGCCCTCACCACCAGTGCTGGTCGTCGCGCAGTCGTGTCATCCGTCCCCGCCTCTATCCTCACCGCTATCCTCACCGGAATCCTCACCGCTATCCTCGCCCCCGACCCTCACCACCTCACCTTCCGGTCCCAGCTACCTGAAACCCGTGAGGGAGGGCGGCTGCAGCGACTGTGAGGACCTGGCACGCTGCAGCGAGGCTGGGCTGCAGCGTAGCGAGCTGCAGCTTCTGTGAGGGCCTGGGCACTGCAGCGAGGCTGGGGGGCTGCAGAGAGCTGCAGCGAGTGTGAGCTGAGGGCAGCTGAAGGCAACAGCGCCTCTATCCCACCCCCCGGCCCTCACCACCAGTGCTGGTCGTCGCGCTGTCGTGTCAACCGGGAATCCCCACCGTCATCGTCGCCGTCGCCGTCGTCGCCGCTCGTCGCCGCTCGTCGTTGTGGCGGTCGTCGCCGCTCGTCGCCGCGTCGTCGCGAGCATCCTATTTGGGGGGAGCATGAGGGGCTGCAGCGACTGTGGGGGCTGCAGCGACTGTGAGGGCTCGTCGCTCGTGTGGCACCGGGCAGTGCTTGGGAGGGCAGCGAAGGGCCTCTAATCCCTCTCGTGCTTGCCGCCGCTTCGCCGCGTTGTCGTCGCCGCGTCATCGCGTCGTCGTCCTCGCCTCTTCCTCTTGGGTGAGGAGGACCCGGCGGAGCAGGGGCGCCCGTGAGACCTGCAGGGCCCGTCGTCGTCGCGTCCTCGTCGCCGCGTCGTTGTCCCCACGCCGCCCTGTCGTCCCCTATCCTCACCCCTATCCTCCTCACCGGTATCATCGCTATCCTCACCGCCTCGCCGGCGTCGTCGTCGCCGCGTGTCGTCACGTCGTCGTCTCCGCCCTGTCGTCTCCGGTATCCTCCTATCCTCACCGCACCGCCTCGCCGCCGCATCGTCGTCGCCGCGTCATCGTCGTTGCGTCATCGCGTCGTCGTCGCTGCGTCGCCGCGTCGTCGCCTCGTCGTCGTCGTCGCCTCGTCGTCGCCGGTATCGCCCCACAGTATCCCCGACATCCGCGGCATCACCCTCCTGACCTGAATCCTCGCCTCGCTCCCGCGCCGCATCGTGGTCGCGACGGCTTGGGTAACTCCGTGGTTTCGGTCTTGGAAGTTCCGCCCTTCAAGCCTGGGCCACGACAGCGGGTGAAGGGAGGGGTGCAACAATGCAGACACAGACCCTTGCGTAAATCCTAAGAGAGGCAGACACAAGCCCCATAGGCCCTACTGCACGGTGCACTCGGCCTCTGGCACTGTCGGATTGAAGGCCGAGTGTTCCAGAAAAACACCTAATCGAGGACAATCATCAGCGTGACTTTACAACACAGCCGCAGCCTTGGGCGACGTAGTGCGTCAGTGGCATGTCTGTCCAGGGAACCAGATGAGTCAGGTTCAGCAGCTTGAATATTGGGCAACAATCCAGAAAATTCGGCTTCTTGACTAAAGGAAGCGGCCTTGACAGCTTGTTTTTTCCGTTCCAAAAGGATGAGCTCGACATCGACATCCATCGAAGGAACCTGCGCTACCTCTGACACATTCTGAAATTGGTCTTGCAAGGCAGACCCTTGCACAGGTTGCTCACGGTTGCTCGCTCACCACTCGACATAGCCACGCCAGGACTCATTCAGACCAGCGGACGGGCTGCACGACATTCCTGTTTTGTCCTGCGCCCGCGCCAAGTGTTCTCAGGACATCAAGCGAACCTACAGGCTTTCCTCTGTTCTTGATCTGTAGCAGGCGTACAAGAGGTTTCTTACCATTGCAAGCCCGACGCAGAACTATGACGTCAGCTCCTTGTGCTCTCGGACCATTCAGCAGCACAACTGTTTCCCCGCTGGTAAGGGCTTTGAGAATCTCTCTGAACAAGTTCTGTGGAACGCCAGATGTCTTCCTTTCATCACTTGGAGGAAACGGGTATGGGAGATGCATGGTCGTGGCCTTCTTGCCAGTTAACACTTCTGAGAAGCGCCTCTCAGACTCCGCCACCAATAACTCCAGGCAGTCTCCATCCTCTGGTATGATGGTGGGCACGTCGAACGCTGCCAGAAGCATGTGCGCCAAGGCGAGCGAGGAGCTGAAGCGCACTGTACTGCGGTAGTCTCTGTCAGCAGGTGGTTTTTCCACGCAGCAGCTCGAGCGCCGTGCTGTAGTTCGAGATGCTGCACAATCCCAGCTGGACACCAGAGCGTCCTCTAAAGATGGGGCATGTCGTCTTTCGAGACGATCTCTGGGTGCATCGGGCTGTAGCGCCTGTTAATCGCTGCGGCCCGACACCTTGTCGCTGTCTACTTCTTTTGGCACTTCTGTGAATCGCCTCAACTCCTCAAAGAGTATCCACGCAGTTCTCGCGTTGCTGAGGCAAGGTCGCAAGAAGTTAACACTTCTCTCGTCTGACAAGTTGAAGCCTTGTAGTGCTAGCGTCGCGTCTAAGAGCTTTTGCAAGTAAGCATCACCTTGGACGTCACCCACCCGGACTAAAGAAACACTGGCTGGATCTGCGGCAATATCAGCGGACCCTGCAACTGGTCCCAGAATGGCGGCAGCAGATGTTCCTGCCATGACCAACAAAGCTGCGTCACAGTAGTTGCCAAGTTTGTCGTAGATTGCATCTCGTGCGCTGGCTACGCCACGAGCCAGCTCCAAACATTTGCCGATTTCATCAATTATGAAGACAATGCCTCCCAGAGCTGTTTTGTTACGATTCTCGTCCTCAAGCCACGTATTGACGATAGTATCTCTGTACTGCTTAGGAAAGGCTTTCCGGACCGCATCGATGAAGCTGTCGACAACAAAATCTGTACAAAGTCTGTTGCGCTGATAGACGCTGCTTGCGGCTTTGATATTCTCCAGTCGTTTGTCCAGGCTATCGTCAGTTTGTCAGCTAATAGAAAAGACGCGCACTGTCGATCCGGAATTCTCCGCCAGTTTCAGAGCCGGCGCAAGCATCGCCTGCACTGATTTACCGCTCCCACTCTCCCCATAGAAAATAGGGATACTGCGCTTCCCAACCTTCATGCTGTCCACGACAATCGCCGCTGCACCAGTTGTGCTTGTGAGCTTCTGCGCATCTCGGACGTAGCCGCATTCAGGAATGCTGGTCAAAAGAGAGCCGTACACCCATACTTTGTTATCATGGTTGTAAGAGACATACGTCTCCTTTTGCGTGATGTGCAGAAAGGTCAATGCCTTTCAGGGCACGGGTTGCCGTGAAACATGCCAACTGGCGTGACACTGACCACAAAACAGGCCCGCCAAAAGAAGCGTGACTAGTTCATGCCAGAGTGGCCGAAGGATCGCTTAAGTCTTGAACCGCATTGAACAGGAACTTCGCTATTCTACATTTCCTGCCCCCCCCCCAAGGCTAAGGAAGGGGGCTACGTGCGCATTCCACGCCGAGAACCACTGCCCGCAGCTCAGTAGCCTTGGCAGCCTGCCCAAAAATGCTGTGTTGACAGTTTCTAGAGCATCCCCTCATAACAGGGCAATTCATGCCTGCAACTAACGGCTGCTGCGTCGCACCAGCCTGGATGACAGCATCCCGCTGGGACCTGAGTGAAAATCATGCAGCCGTCAGCTCCGAACCAGAACGTGCTCTGAGGAACAAGGCAACATGCAAGCTCTTGAGTGATGACCAAGACTATTTACTCGAATGCCACACCAGCAATGGAGCGCGCCTTTTTCGAATGATGCTCTATGCAAGAGCGACAGCACTGTCCTCCATCGTTTGCTTGCTGATGATTTCTTTGCCGGCGACTTTCCCGACCTCTTCTTCTTTGGCCACTGCTTCTGCGCAACATAGTTGCTATCGGGGCGCGCTATATGTGTAGGAAACGGAGCCAAATGTTGCAAGCTCCTCAGCCGGAACGTAGGAGTCTGTTGCAAAAACCATGGTCGACTCAAAGTAGGAGGAGCCTCGTTGCGGGGGATACTCTCCCAAAGCACCAGCTCGACGGACACGCTAACATTACTCCTGGGCTGCTTGAACTCCCCAAGCTCGGACACATTACGGCCAGCTTGCTCTGACACAAGTCGGCACAGCCATCCAAGAACTTGTGCAGCTCGATGCAAGGCGGGACGTGCGGCTGTTTTGTTGTGGCATGCGACTCCCAGTGTTGAAATAGCTGGAAGCATATCTGCTTTCTTGTTCTTGTTCTTCGCCTGTATCAGGCGAACCAAGGGCATATTGCTTTCATGCTTCCTCCGAAGAACGATAATGTCAGCACCTTGAGCACTGGGCCCATTGCGCAGCACCACTGTCTGGTTGGCATTCAATGCTCCCAGAATCTCCGTAAACTGTGCTAGCGGCAGGCCTGTCATGTTCGGCTGGTTAAGCTGCGGAGGCAGCACATGCGGTAGAGTCAAAGCGATGGCCTTCCGGCCCGTCAGCACCTCTGAGAAGCGTCTTTCCGCTTCCATTATGACTGCCTCCAGCGAATCCCCGTCCTGCGGGACTACCTCCGGCACATCGAAAGCTGCCAACAGCATGTGTGCCAAAGCGGGTGAAGACTGGAAAATGAGGTCCTTCCGATACGTCTTGCTTTGCCCATCTTGAGCAAGGAGACTTTGGGCTTCGCTATAATTTGAAACATTGCACAGCCCAAGGCTTACACACTCTACAGCTTCCCGAAGCGTCGGCATCGTGTCTGGTGTCAGAAGGTCGGCGTGCATCAAAAGTTTGAGCGCCCGGTTGGCAATGCCTTCACGCTGTTCAGCAGTCTTCAATCGCTGCAAGCCGTTCGTTGTTCTGTACATCAACGGCACATAGCAGCCCGTGGCTGCTGGGTAGCGCTTCCAAATTGAGCCTGCCATCTTGCGGCTGACATCCTTTGGTGCCCAAGCAAAAAAACACCGCAGTGTTTCAATCAGGAACCATGCCGTTCGGGCATTGCTGAGGTATGGGCGCACGGACGCGACTTGCAAGTCCTTCAAGTGCACGCCCGTCTGGTTGTCTAACTGTGTCAGCAGGCTGCCGAGATAGTTCGAGCCTTGGACGAGGCCAACGTGCGTCAAGCAAACCCCGCTTGGATCGGTACTGAGCACACTTGTACCTGGAGTGCCCAGAATGTATGCCGCAGCCGTTCCTGCCATGACAAGCTGAGCAGAGAGGCAATACTTCTGCTCTAGCGTGGTGTAGATGTCATCTTGCTTTGCAGAGATCCCGCGAGCCAGTTCTATGCACTTGCTGACCTCATCGATGACAAACACGATGGTGCCAAGGTCTTGTTTGTTCCGGCTTGGATTGTCCAACCATGCCTCAACCACCTCATGATGTGGCCAAAAAGCACTCTTGATCTGTGCAAAGAGCATGGTGAGAGTCCAATTCATGCACAAGGCATTGCGATTCTCGAAGTTACCTTGCGCGTGTTCGTGCCTGATGCTCGCGAGGATTGGGTCGTCATCGTCAATAGTCTTGCTCAAGACGCGAACTATGCAGGAATTATTGCCTGACTTCAGGGCTGGCGCAAGCTGAGACTGAAGGGTCTTCCCACTGCCACTTTCACCATAGAAGACGGGAATACAGCGCTTGCCCTTCATGCTGCCGATTGCCACATCCACCACTTCGCCGCCGACTGTGCTTGTCAAGAGCTGCGCATCTTCAATGTACCCACATTCTGGTATCTCAGTTAGGAGCCTGTACACCCAAACATGCTTGTATTGGAACTCTGGATAGCTGCTGTCGTTCACGAGGTCCCGAAAGGTCAACACCTTTCAGCACACGGGCTGCCCTGAAACATGCCAACTGGCGTGACACTGACCACAAAACAGGCCCGCCAAAAGAAGAGTGACTAGTTCATGCCAGAGTGGCCAAAGGATCGCTTAATTCTTGAACCGCATTGAACAGGAACGCCGCTGTCGCAGCCTCTAGACTGTACCGGCTCTCGAGCTGATCTTGGGGGACTTCGAGCAGCTGTTGAGACAACATCCCAGTCAGCTTCGCAAGTGCCTCAAACAAGGAAAAAGACTGAACGGTCGGATGGTACAAACGAGTTTACACCCCTGGCCTGTTGGATCGCAGAAGCGTCGTACTTGGCAGAAACCAGGTTTGCTGCAATCCATGCAGCTACTTGAAGTGGTCCGTAGCTGTCCACATCGTCTCTGGTTGCGTTACAGGCCTGCTCCAACACCTGGGCCAGGCGGATCCACAGCTCAGACCCCGAACGGCAAGAACATAAAGCATGCGGCTGAGCGACCGATTGGACATCTGGATCCCGAAGAGCTGAACTCATCACAGTCTTTGCATCCAGCTTCACCAGCGCCGACAGCATGTCACCTGCGAGCGCCGTCCCCACCACATCTGGCTCGCGTTTCCCACAACTCCGAGGCCGCCGCCGACCATCGTGATTCGATCCTATGCCGGCGCAACCCGTGCTGGACGGCTACACTCCGAAGCCCCCGGGCCTCATCAGCGCCTTCATCTTCAAGCTTCTTCTTGAAATCTCTGACGGCCTCAGCTTGCTCCGAGACTGCGGCTGCCCGGAAGCAACGGCAACGTGTGCAGTCGAGCGGCGGCGGCCGCTTTCAGCTTCTTGATGCGCTTTATCAAGATGTCTTTTGGCCCGTCTGACAAGTTGAGCTTTGCTTCCAAGTCTGCCGCGACGCTCTTCTCCAGCAGGAATGACCCAGCATACTTTTGCCCTGCAAGCTTTCTGATTTCCTCAGAGCACATTGCTGCTTGAGACGAGACAAGCAGGCACATTCGTCATCTCCGACCTCGCGATCAGTGATGCCCACGGATTGTTCGACCCATCGAATCACCTAGAAGAGACGCTTCAGAAAGCCAGGGCAGGACTAAAGGGAACGACATAAGAACGACGCAAAGCACCTCATCTGCATCGTAGCTCTGAACCTGATCGTGTTCTTTGCCAAGCTCGCTCACCTTGCAGCAAAGCAGGGGTGTCACTCCGAACTCCGAACCGACAAACCATTCCTGCCTCATCATCTTCCTTGTCGTCAGCTTCACTATGTTGGCCATCAGCCTGAGCTTCTCCGGACGGGCTTGACACAGTCTTTTCAGTTTTGGACCCCCACCTTGCTCGTGACCCTGCGTGCAATGAGGGGCTTACGCGCCCACGCGCCAGCAGGAGGCCTCGCTTGGCTTTCTGCTCTTCGGTGCACCATGCTGTCACATCCCGCCTTGCAAAGGGGACGGCCCGGGCTCCAACGGCAGTGTGCACTGTCTGCACGGCTGGCCTGAAGCTGCTCAGAAACCCTCTCTAACACTGAGAAGCACCTGTCTTAGGCTCTGGCTGACAGGCCCAAAACAATGCCAGCAGCGCCAGAACGCGACCAATCTTGCGCGACGCTGGAGTCCTTGCCATGGCTGCCCTCGTCCTATAGCTGTCCTCAAGAAGGCTCGAGCAGAAGCGACTGAATGACATCAAATAAGCCCTGATCCCCGACCCCCTTCTATCATCTTCGGTTTGGCCGCTGGTCCAGAAGTATCTGGGTGCCACACGCAGAGTGCGTTGACAAAGGACCCGTGATATCGCCTGCCAGTACAGCGAGATCCAGAAGGATGCATGGCAAGCATCTCTCTGCACAGGAGATTCACGGGTAAAGCCCCCAACCCCTGCCTCCATCAACCACCCAGCCCGTGACCTCACAATTTCATCTTCACCTCGGCTCCCCGGCCCGCCCCGGCCCGCCCCGGCCACCTCGGTGCCTCCTGGCCCAGGAGTATGGGCAACTGCCAGTCGAACTCCAGCCCTCCTAGGGTGGCCCCCCTTTCACGCATCACTCAGAGCCGGCAGCGAGACCGGGATCGGGCAGAAGAGAGGGGCAAGGACAGCGCAGCACGACCGAACCTGAACGCCTCAGAGCTCACCCCCCAGACTGCAACCAAACCAACCCTGAAACTTGCAGCACACAACCAAAACCTCGCTGCCTCAAAACCCCAACCCACCTGAAACTCCGTGGAGCCTTGCAGCGCAAACTTGCAGACTTGGCTGCCAAGGAGCCTCAACTCACCTGCAACCCCAAAGGCAACCCTCAAGCCTCCGTGGTCCCCAGCGCTCGATCACTACCCCCTGCGCCAAGGCTTGCTGTGCTTGCCAGTTTGCTGTGCTTGCCGTGCTGTCGTGTTGCTTCGTGTGGTCCTGCATGCCAAGAGTCAAGCACATGCCAAGTCAACAAAAATCCATGTCAAAACCATGCAAAAATCACGAAAACATTGGAAATCACAACAACCGCTCCAAGAACTCTCGCCAAAACGGATGCAAAGGGTTTCAAGCCAGCATGCAAAACTCATGCGAAAATTGCAATAGCTGAAAAAACATCCGCGCTATGAATCTCCAACTGCTCACTCTGACGGACGTGTTTTGACTAGCCAACCCCAAACCCTGTAGGCCCTGTGTCGCCAAAAAGCCCTTACAGCCGACACTGCTGCGACGCACGCATGCTCGGATGACAGAAAATGCCCGCCGCCTGCTACAAAAATCAGCAACATGCAAGTTCCAGCCAACATGGTCGTGGACAAAACGACCCGCCTGGCTAATGGCAGCACAGTCCTGCCCGTCAAACCCTCACAGGCCCTTTCACCTGGATGTCTGGAAACTACCTGCGCGTCTTGTGGAACCTGCCCCGCACCTAGCGGCACGCGACCCAAAACGTGCAACCATGTCTTCGGAAATCGACCCCGAAATCAAGCAGCATTTCGAAATTCTGGAAGCCAAAGTGCAATCCCGAGCCAAACCTTGCCCAACGACAACAATCTGACCAGCTACGACCTCGGGACTCCGGGAAACATGGTGTTCGTGCCTGAAGCAGACACAGCGAGGCACTGCATACTTTAAGGCCAAGATTCACTGGGACGCCTCGCTCATTCTATAAGGACTCTAGACTCCGACGCCCAAAATGGTGGCCGAGCTCAAAGCGTTCGCGGGCGGTGAGGTGCAGCTCAAACCCTTCCAGCAGTTCATCAGCTTCAACAACAGCCTAGCCCAACATCGGGGGAGGCAACAGCGGCGAGGTCATTTTTGGCTACGGCTTCGTCAACCTCAGCGACGCTGGGCCTCAAGGAGCCAGGACCTCCTGCAGCAAACCCTCAACGCCGTGGAGCCACAGCTGTACAATCGCATCGGGCCCAAGGACCAGATCGGTTTGTCGCGCTGGACGCGCAGGCGAGACGATGTGCAAGACCAAGAACGGGAGAGATGGCTCTCGACTAGACTACTAGAAGCTTTTCGTGGTGCTCTGAGGCGTCTGCAAGAGGCTCGAGAAGCTCGAACGGGCCGTCTCAGGACGAAGGCGCGTGCAACCTTGCGGGACGGAACAAGGACGTTTGGCGGTCACGAAAGCGGTGCCCGATAAGGGCGGCGACGGTGACGTGGGCGGCCGGTCTCGGAAACGAGACCCGGGCCTGGCGCCTGGCGCTGCCGGGCGGCGTGGTGCCTGCAGAAGGACACCAGCGGGAAATTGATGCAGTGAACGGCCGCTCAGCACGTGCTGTTACAATTCGGACAGTTTTGTGGCCCAAAAGCTCCCTGGCACTGGTTGGCACCAAAGACGACATCCAAACCGAAAGCAAACTGAAACCCTCCTGCAACTGCCTGAAGGGCGGCATTGAGCTCAGGCGCGGACTCTAACTATTTCTGAGGACTTTGCAGCAGCTGAGCCAACAGGTTCATGCCTCCACTGCCGGCAGGTCTTTCCACCGTTTCCAGGGTTTCCAGGGGCACCTAAAATAGGCTCGAGCGCAGGGAAAGGATGGAAAGGATGGCAAAAGATGCCTGCGAGCGCTCCACTTCCAGCTTTTCCATCCCCGATTTTGGGCCATGCGTCTCGAGCCCAATCCAGGAGCTTCGTTTTTCCACGATTTCCACGATTTCCATGTTGTTAATACTCGATTTTTGGACGAAGCTACTCGAACCCGATTTTGATGTCCAGGAGCTTCGTTTTTCCACGTTTTCCACGTTCGCTTTTGGGGACTCATCAGCGCCCCCTGCAAACCATGAAAAACGAAGAAATGGTGGAAAGACCTGCCGGGAATAGGGGCGGGCTTGAGGCGCAGCCATGCACATCTTGGCAAGAGGATGGGGTGGCGGTGGGGACAGGGCTCGGTGCACCGAGTCGCTGCAGCCCCACACATGTTCTGCCCACCCAGCCTCCAGGCCTCCAGTTTCAGGTCTCCACATATCCGGTTTTGCAGCCTCCGTTCCTGCAGCCTTTTTGCCGCGCAGCTCCGGCTCCAACAGGCTGCCCTCACCAGTCACTGCAGCCCCCCACACTATCCCCCACATCCGCGGCATCACCCTCCTCACCTGAATCCCGTCGCGTCATCTCCTCATCTTTGGGTCAGGATGCACCCGGAATAAAGGAGCTGTGAGTGGCAGTGAGGGCACGCAGCGACGACGACGCGATGACGCAACGACGATGACGCGGCGACGACGATGCGGCGGCGAGGCGGTGCGGTGAGGATAGGAGGATACCGGAGACGACAGGGCGGAGACGACGACGTGACGACACGCGGCGACGACGACGCCGGCGAGGCGGTGAGGATAGCGATGATACCGGTGAGGAGGATAGGGGTGAGGATAGGGGACGACAGGGCGGCGTGGGGACAACGACGCGGCGACGAGGACGCGACGACGACGGGCCCTGCAGGTCTCACGGGCGCCCCTGCTCCGCCGGGTCCTCCTCACCCAAGAGGAAGAGGCGAGGACGACGACGCGATGACGCGGCGACGACAACGCGGCGAAGCGGCGGCAAGCACGAGAGGGATTAGAGGCCCTTCGCTGCCCTCCCAAGCACTGCCCGGTGCCACACGAGCGACGAGCCCTCACAGTCGCTGCAGCCCCCAGTCGCTGCAGCCCCTCATGCTCCCCCCAAATAGGATGCTCGCGACGACGCGGCGACGAGCGGCGACGACCGCCACAACGACGAGCGGCGACGAGCGGCGACGACGGCGACGGCGACGATGACGGTGGGGATTCCCGGTTGACACGACAGCGCGACGACCAGCACTGGTGGTGAGGGCCGGGGGGTGGGATAGTTCAGGACATTACTACACCACGCAACACCAAAAGGCTACTGCGAGGAATGCTGTGCGAAGCAAAAGCAAGCAAAAGCTGGAGCATGAAAGAAGGTATGCACACTGTCCTTTTTTCGGCTTGCCGGTAAAGCGACTGCTCAGAAGTCGGCTGTCCCGATCGGATCTTTGATCCGTCCGAGATCGTAAAGCAAAGGCTGAAAGAAGGTATGCACACTGTCCTTTTTTCGGCTTGCCGGTAAAGCGACTGCTCAGAAGTCGGCTGTCCCGATCGGATCTTTGATCCGTCCGAGATCGTAAAGCAAAGGCTGAAGCAGCGGAGCAGTCGCAAAAGCCCGGGTCTGAAACTGGCAAGCCGAAACCTCGCAAACGTAGTGAAAAGGCCAAGCAGAAAAGTGAGGTGAGGAAGCTACTTGCGCTTCCTTGAACCGCGGTTTGTCGGGCCCAAGCTGTCAGCTGACGGAAGCTGCCATTTCAAAAATGTGTCAGCGGGAAAAAGCGTCACTTGAAAGCGGATCTGCCAGAACTCAGAAAGTGAGAGCTCGATGCGGTTCGAGGCCAGAAACTTGGCAGGGAGTTCCGCGGAGCCATCCCACCGAGAAAGCAGGTCTGCGTCGTCGTTCTTCTCGCCAGCTATATGGCTGCAGTCCAAAGTGACACCGGTAATCGAGCTCCACATTGAAAGCTTGCGAACGAAAAGGTTAAGTGGTACTTTAGAGGTGTAAAGCTTATTACACACAGACTCCGCACCACTGTCAAAGCCAAGCGACCGGAACTATGGGCTTTCCAAAAAGCCAAAAGCACAAAGCACTGTGCCAATGTCTCGTAGCTGGAGATGTCTAGGTTGGCATCTGCTTGCATGGGTAGGCCTAAGTCCAGGAAGTCTTTGACTGTGTAGCGGTGAGCAAACCAAAGCAGGCGTCCGCTGGGGAGGAGTAGCCAACCTCCCACGCCACAGTCGTTGCCCTTGCCGAAAGCATCTGCGGCCGATTCCACCGAACTGGTAGGTGGTGGTCGAAGTGGCCTGGGCCGCCAGTCCCTGGAGCTCAAGTGGGCAAAGAAGGCAAGGGTTTCTCTGCTGGATTCACATAAGCGCCGCTTGGAGGAAGTGGGGTCCGTAACTCGGAGCCACATGCGCTTGGTGCTTACGGGGACTAGAGCCAGGTCTTCTTTGCTTTTAAGAGGCTTATGCCGAGCTGAAAGCAGCGTTGAGCCAGGTGAAATGCCCGTGCCCGGGGGGCAACCTGTGAAGCGAAGCTTGTCGTCCAGGTAAGAGTGGATGCCTGGCCAAACAACTGGGCTGATGCTGACATTGGTGCCAAGTGGTCTACGCATGTCATCATACAGAGTGCATAGCCAGGGGCGTAAAGCAGGAAGACCATGCAGAATCCACTGAAGCAGACCTAGCAGTTTGTCAAGCTGTTTGCGGCTGACAAGTCGGTGCCGAAGGCACTCCTCCACCTGGACAAGCAGCTTCAAGCGTTTGAGCTCTGGTAAAGTGTAACAGCCAGCCTTGAAGTCGATCTGCCACCCTATCCAGGTTATAGACGGCCCCATCTGCAATTTCCGCCAACTAAGCGGTATGTTGAAGCAGGCGCAGAATGCCAAGACCAGAGAAGCGCTAAGCGGCAGTGCACGAGAATTTTGCCAGAGAAGCAAATCATCGACGTACAGCATGAGGACGTGTGACAACCAGATAAGTAGGTGAAGGCAGCGCACGAAAAAGCCCCCCAAGCGGGCAAACCAGTGGCTAGAAAAAGTGGCCCCGAAGGGACAGACACGGTAGAAAAAGAGGCGTTCTTGTTGTCTTAGTCCAAGCAGGCCTCTGTCTTTATAACCAATGTGGCTTCATGTATCATGCGGGCCTTTCTTTAAGTCCACTCGAATATGTCTTTCAATCGCATATATATAAAGTGTTATTTTCCAACGAAACTTCCGTTAGCGCGCGTTTGGGAAACCCTAACTGCGCTGCAGAGGAACCCTGTGCAAAACACTCTCTCTTTTTCTCCTAGCGGACATGGGGGGTCAGTTCGGGCCCGATCTTCGGGCACTGACGAAACGATGCCACTGGCATCTTGACGAAAAACTCGACCGCTGGTCGATGGTAAGGCGAACGACTGGTTCACCCCCCTACCAGGGAATAACCCGTACCACGGGATAATAAGGTGAAACATTCTCTGACCTACTGGGTCACTGCAGCTACCAGTTGCTACTCTGTAGTCTGACGGCCTACGGCCTATGTACAAGAGCGCACTCTGTGCTGACGCCGCTCTGCTAGAGAGAACATAGGAGCGCTGCTCCTGGCAGCTCTGCTGCCGACGCGGTGTCCCAGACCCCGCATACTATACAGGGTGTGGTGGGTGGGATAAAAACTTTTTGGATCACAGATCCAACTTCAAGCCGAAAGCTGCACGGCAAAGCTTGTCTAGTGTCACTCACACACAAGTGAAAACACTGTTTTCCTTTTTCGACAAACTTTGTCTACACTTTCGGCGGAAAATAAAACCCATTCACGCACGCATGATGGATGCTTATTTTCCAACGAAACTTCCGTTAGCGCGCGTTTGGGAAACCCTAACTGCGCTGCAGAGGAACCCTGTGCAAAACACTCTCTTTTTCTCCTAGCGGACATGGGGGGTCAGTTCGGGCCCGATCTTCGGGCACTGACGAAACGATGCCACTGGCATCTTGACAAAACTCGACCGCTGGTCGATGGTAAGGCGAACGACTGGTTCACCCCCCTTGAAGGCACTCGAAGCCTTACTCACCCCCCATTTAGTCCGCGCCGAGTGACAAAGCCAACGGCACTGCGTTGGGCGGCAGGTATTGGCGCGCTGCGCCTAGCCGCTGGGTCTCTTCCCACCAGTCTCTGCTGGGGCCATCAGCGATGTTGCTGTCTGTCGGGACTCGGAAGAAAGCAGCCCTGCACTGCAGAGACTCTTCAAAGTCCACCGCTTGCGAGACTATCGCTGCGCCTTCTACCTTCCGTGTGAAGGCCTTGTGCAAGGAAGTACGCGCTGCGTCGTTATCTATCCAGACGAACAGGTCACTGCCTGCTATGTGCTTGGCCCACAGTTGAAGGCTAAGCAAATAGGGCAACAGCTCGCACTCGTAGACCAACTGCTGCTTCTGTGCCCTGGCAACCCACTGGGCTGCAACCTGGCTGCTGATCTGCAGCCCCCAGGTGAAGGCGATGCCTTCTCCAATGAGCACTGCTCCGAGGCCACACTTGGGCACCAGTCGCGGGGTCTCCCACTCGCAGGCCCCGTCGATATACAGGTGCACCTTCCTGCGCGCATGGATGGACACTGTCCTGGGCGGTCCGTGCACTACTCGTTGCAGAAGGAACGCCATGGCTTGGCACTGCTGCTCGGTGAGGGGGACTTGCTCTGGTCCATCCCCAAGGACGTCGCCGACGCAGATCACTGCCATGCGAGTGTTGCGGCCCCAGGCTTGCTGCTCAGCGAAGATGAGCCTGCCGCGCAGGCTCTGCGCTTCCAAGGGGGACATGCTGCCGCGGGCGAGGGCCTCGCTGAGGACCATCCCCAGCTCTGCTGCACGGGTCGGCTTGTTGCTCACGGAGATTTCTCCAAGGTGCTGCTTAGACAAGTCGACTCGCACGCCCAGCACGTCGAAGACTTCGCTGAAGTCGGCGTTCTTCTTGGGCTCTGTGGCCACTTGCCAGCCCAGCTTGTTAAAAAGGTTGGACACTGCCAAAGTGACGAGCTTCGAATGCGCGCTGCGCGTAAGGACTGTGAAGTCATCGAAGAAGCTCGTCATGACCAAAGCAAGCTTTTCGCGGCCGATGGCTTTCAGCGCCTCGCTGCAGCGGAGGAAGGCGTGCACGGCGGCCACTGCGCCGAAAGGCATGCTGTGTAGGTGGGCTATTTTAACCTTCCCACTCTGTGGGTCCACCATGACGATGCACGCAAATTTCTTGTGTGCAGCCTGCACTGCAAGCTGCTTGTAGGCACTCTTGAGGTCCCAGGTCCTGCCTACGATGCGGTGGGCCTGCTCTGCGGGCACACCCTGGCGCAGCCACTCGAGGCACACGGCAAGGAGCTCGTCGATGCTGTCGACTTGGACCTTCTCTGTGGTCCCGCAGCAGCTGTTGATGAAGCTGCTCTTAAAATTATCAATGGGGCGCACTTTGCCCTTTTGCACAACGCCGAAGCGAGACGATACTATCGTCTCGTGTAGTTTTTCTGGCGAGAAGTCCTCCAAAGATAGCCAGCCCTGCTGGCCTTCCTCTATTGTGCTTTCCCAGACCCTGTCCGAGACCCCGTCCTGCGAGGGGCGCAGAGCGCTGCGAACGCCGCGCATACCTATACTATGGGCGTTTTCCAGTATTGACTTCTCATCTAGAGAAGGAGGCAGGATCTGCACTGGCCACAACCCACTGGGTTGTATCCAGCCAAGCAGGGGAAAACCTTCCCGCACCTGCTGGGCCAATGTCCTGTCCGGGAAGTCGATTTCACTCAGAAGCTTTGCTAAAGCTACTGTCTGCTTGGGCTTGGTGACGCTGTTCACCTGAGCGTCAATCGACGAACGTACCCCGGTCTCGAGGGCTTGACACTCTGCGCAAGTTCTCGATATATGCATCGATGCCAATGTGCGGCGCTTGGCCAGCAGGACAGTGTCTTCGTGCACTTCGGCAGCGATGGCGCGCTTGAGGGAGAGAGGCACTGCCTCAATGTCCCTGGCTGGGTGATCTATGAGATGCGCTCTGCGCACCCAGTGCAGTGGCTGCAGCGGGATGGCGATGATGGCCTTCTGGGAGGCTTCGATCCACTGGATGAGCCTAGAGCCTTTTGGGAAGCAAGTCCACGATTGTGGTAGCTTCTGGGGAGTCTTCCAGCCTCGAAAGCACCGCGCTGCGGGGCCTTGGAGAGTGACTTTGCCACTGAAGTCTGGCTCGTAGCGCAGGCGTCGCAGACGCTTGCGACTGAGAGGCGCTGCCTGGAGTGCTGCTGCGCATTGGTCTGCCGCGAGGGAGACCCAGACCGAGCTCAGCTGAGTGGTGTAGGCGCTTTCTAAGGAGGTAGACCACACTGTGGAACCATCCACTGAGGCTCTGCCCCAGGGCAGGTGTTTGTGGCCTCCGTCGCAGTCCCTGCTTAGACCGGAGAACCAATCCAAATTGGAGAGGATTGCAGTACGCTTGCGGCGCATGCTTCCGAACATGCACGCGTCAAACTCCACTCTGTGAGCTGACTGCAAGGCCTCTCTGAGGCAGGGCATCCTCCACAGGAGACTACGAGCTGGATTTTCTATGGACCAGCAAACGCCGCGCTGAGATAGGGAGTGGCAACACTGTGCCATGAAAGCAACTAGGCTGTTCGCGCTGCGAACTCGTGCTGCGTCTGCTCCGCGGAGGCCTTTAAGGCCCGCTGGGCGCGATTCGCTGCGCAAAGGGCCCGGCGCTCCCGGCCTGGGAATCTCTCTAGCTCTGCTAAAGGTGCCGCACGGCGGGGCCCAGTGGACCCATCTCAGGTCTTGGTGTGAGAGCACTGCTCTCAGCAAGTTGCGACCCAGCTGCGTGCAAAGGTCGAGCTGCAGGACCTTGAGGCCTCTGGCCTTGGTCTTGTGATCCACTGCGACGTTCGAGAAGCCTTTTTCGATGGCTGCCTTACTAAGGCGACCGAGGCCGCAGAAAACTTCCACAAACAGTGGCGGCCGAGGGGCCGCTTGCGGAGCAGGCTCAGGGAGAGAAGCGCCCAGAGCATTGTCTGCCGGCACGCTGTGCTGTTCAGACAGCAGGAGCGCTGGGGGGTCGGCGTTGGCCGCGAGCCCTGCGTCAGGCGACGGCGCTGCTGTGGCACGTCCTGGCTTACTTGTTGCAGGCGGGTGCAGCGACAGTGCCGCGGTGGGAGGGTCAGGGCTCTGCCCTGCGCGTGGCGCGGTGGCAGGAGGGCCCAGCGCTGCTGGGCGAGGAGCTGCGGGCTCAGTGGCCGAGGGCTGTTGCGGCTCTGCCGCGCTCAGGGCAAGGGGGCCTAGTCAGGCGGCCCCTGCGTCCTTGGGGCAATCTGCGGCTCCGTGTTCGGAGCTGCCACAGCTCATGCACTGATGCAACCCCCTGTCACACTGCTTGGGGGATCCGGAGGTCTCAAGGTCGCACCCGCACTGCAGGTTGAAACCGTAGCACAGGCGCTTGCCCGACTTTGAAACGCTGTTCAAGTGGCGAAGCTCTTTGGGCATGCTCGGCGGCCTGGAGCGGTCTGCGCTCTCGTGCCGTTTGCCCTTGCCCTTTCCGCGGCCTTTCTTGCCGCCTTTCTTGCCTTTGCCGGTCGTGCTACGACTGCGGTCTTCTTCGCTGCGCGTAAAGCTGCGGCCCTTGCCCTTGCGACCCCTGTCTGCCACTGGCGAGGGCAGCAGGTGCAGCGTGACAATAGGATCGGACCACATGTTCTCTACTAGAGAATCTAGTGGCCTCTTACCATCCTTGTCCGGTTTGCAACCCTTGCGACACTCTCGCGCGAGCAGCGTCCACAGTTCTTTATCGGCCCGTACTACGTGCCAACTGTTGCCGCGCTCCATCCCCGGCGGCGCTGGCCGGTTCAGGACGGAGAAGAACTGTCTCACGAGTCTCTCGTGAATCGTGAAATCCAACACGCCGACTCTGTCGAGCGCGAGACCTCTGCGCATGAGCGCCTGCGTGAGCTTTAGCTCATTGCCGATCTCGACGTGCACGCTGTGCTCCTTTTTCTTTACTGTGATCTCCCCAGACTCTAGGGAGAGGAAGGCCTTGTCACGCCTCACTGAGGCGATCTCGGCATCCCGGCTGACGCACTGCGACGGTGGGATGTAACGAACGATGCCGTCCTGCAGCATGAGCGCGGCTTTATCCACGAGGCTGTGCGCGGGGTCGTAGTCACCTTCGATGACGACGCCCCGGAGGCGCGCGACTTGCGCGGCGCGGCGCTCCTCGCGCTCGTGCAGGGGCAGGCTCTTGGGGGTGACGCTGTCACCCTCTACCCTCATCTTCAGATCCTGGATACTGAAGGTCAGGCTTTCGAAGGCCAGGCGCCGCGCTGCGGCCTTAGTGCCCAACGACGGCTCTGCCGTCTTGAAGACCTTCTTGAGGAGTTCTTCAAACTTCGCATCGCTGATGCGGTCTGGTTGGTCAGCGACGCTGTACGCTAGCGTGCCGAAAGTGCGGATGTCTGCCGCGAAGAGCTTCGCCGACTCGGCGTCTCCTAGGAGTTGTTGAGCTCTGCTCGAGAATTCCGCGACACTGTCGACGAGGTTCGCCATCGTCCTGCAGGGCAAGCGAAGATGAAAAAGAGAGAGAGAGAGAGAGAGAGAGAGAGAGAGAGAGAGAGAGAGAGAGAGAGAGAGAGAGAGAGAGAGAGAGAGAGAGAGAGAGAGAGAGAGAGAGAGAGAGAGAGAGAGAGAGAGAGAGAGAGAGAGACACAAACACGGTGCAGACTGCAGGACCCTACTAGGACAGACAGGCTCGTGAACTCGCTCTCTTTTTCACTCTGCATCGAAAGACTTGCTGCTCCAGCAAGTCTTGCAGTGCGGTCGGCCCGGTGCGAGGTTGCGAACTTCGCAACTCGTATACTTTTCATTCAAGCAGCGACCGCAAAGAAGCCTCTTGGCGTTCTCGCCGCGGCTCGCGTGCAGCTTGCCACTGGCAAGATGACACCACGAAAAGGCCCAGTCTGGGAGAGTGCACTGCACCTCCCTTCTAAGGCGAGGGTGCTCCTCTACCTCGGGCTCGGCGACGAACTCGTCTTCTCTATCAGTGTCACTGGCACTGTCTTCTGTGTCGCTGAGCTCCTGTTGTTGCGAGACCTTCAGGGCTTCCACCCCCACTGGGGGTGCTGAGCCAGAGGAGGTTTTCCTGTGAGAAACCTTGCTAAGGTTCTCTCGCCTCAGGTTAAGCTGACTGCTAGGCAGCGCGAACTGTTTCCCGAGGGGCTGGTCAGGAAGGAAATCGCCATCTCTGATGGCGATAAGAACCTCCTCCAGAGCCCGCGCTGCGGGAATGAGCACGTGGCGGCTGTACGTCTCAGTGCTCCGAGCACTGTCGTGGACATGGTGGGCGAGGAGTCTGCGCAGGTCCAGGTTGACGCCAGCTTGCGAGGCCCAGGTGAGGCACGTCGCTTTGAGACTGTGACTGCTGAGGCGCTCTGCGCCTTCACATCCAGCGTTCAACAGCGCGATGCGCAGCCAGGAGGTTATTTCTTGAGAATTCATCGGGCGATCTGCTGGATCACCATCGGATGTGAAGGCAGGGATCACTGACCCTAGCGGGATTTCTCCGCTGGAGCTGAGACCCAGCTTTTCTCGATTGGCGAGCCACTGACTCACCCACGATTCTTCGAAGAAAACCACCGGGGCTACCAGCGGGAGCAGCAGGCGGCTTCTAGCCCCTACGGCGGTTTTCGCCTTGTGCACGTTCGCCTGCATCCACACTGTGGCGCAGGGGTCCTCTGGGAGCTCGACGGAGAAAGAGGCAACTCGAGCCGCGTCACTGGCGCGGGCGCATGCAAAGAGCATGAACAACAAGCCCCCAGACACGACACTGTCGTACACAGAGCCAGACAGCGCGATGCGCTCTAGAGTGGCCACCTCTGAGGCCTTAAGGGCAGGGGCCCGTTTCGGCCACGATACGGGAGCTGGTCACCTCCGACTCGAAGGACAGACCGAAGACTCCCGAGCACCAGTTCAGACTCTGAATCAAGCTCGAGGGGCTGCTAGCCCCTTTCCCATTCCGCATCATCCACTGGATGTAGCGCCAAGTGGCGCGCTCGGACACTGGGAAGGGCACCACCACTGGGTTTTGCGTGTTTGCCCACTGGACAAAATTGCTGACAAAGTTGAGGCGGCGTACAACTGTGTTGGTAGCCTTGTCGCTTGCGACGAAAACCGTCGGCTCACACTCAAAAGGTATTTGGCCGAGTATTTGGCCGAATCCGAATATGTAATATAAATGATGATATGTGTTTCTCCAATCAAATATGTTTGCGAAGTTAAGAGGTCAACGCGGACAGTCACTCGCACGTACACTTCCCTCGGACTGATGTTTTGACTGCTGGGGCGATCGACGTGCGGATGATGTCGACGGATGGGCTAGGCACCCAGTTGGCCTAGGTGAAAACAGGTTCGTGCTACCAGGGCACGGGTCATAGCCAGTTTATGACGACAGTGACCGAGGGCCGTGGTGGGTGGGTGAACAAAAATTTTCGGCTGATCTTGGGCCCGAAACTTCGTCATGCTGAGGATGTCAACGAACAAAGCACGTTGAAAGCAAGACGAGCACAAGTGCCGAAAATTATAAATGATAAAATTTGAAAGGAAGAAAGTGTATGAGCCTAAAGTTTCGCTCGCGTCAAAACGCAGGCCGCTCGCTGTCGCCGCACACGACAACGCCATCGCATGCGCGAACGCACACGTCGCTTGCGACGAAAACCGTCGGCTCACACTCAAAAGGTATTTGGCCGAGTATTTGGCCGAATCCGAATATGTAATATAAATGATGATATGTGTTTCTCCAATCAAATATGTTTGCGAAGTTAAGAGGTCAACGCGGACAGTCACTCGCACGTACACTTCTCTCGGACTGATGTTTTGACTGCTGGGGCGATCGACGTGCGGATGATGTCCCCTGTTTGGAAGCACGTCTGCCCTCACCCCTACACCACCAGGTTGGCGTAGGGATCTCTTACAGCAAGGAGGATCGCATCCCTGACAGGTCCATCCGAGCCGAGGTTAACGACTCTGCCGCCGAAGAGGCGGGCTGCAGCCTCTGCATCCCCCCTGGACGGCATGTCCGCAGGGTTGCTGAAGGAGCAGACTCTCTCGTACCACAGCACCGAAGGATGAGAGATCTCGATGGACTGCATGACCCTGGCCATGGCTCTCAGAGACTCGGAGTCCGCGGTCCCCTTGGAGAGAGCCACCCTCGCTGGTTCGTTGTCGATCCACATAACCGCGAGGCGATCTCGGATGACGTGTCGGAGGAGGTATCTGGCAGATATTGCAGCATAAGCTTCGATCTGGCAGATGAGCTGAGTGCCCACCTGCTGTTGCCATGCCGCAAGGAGCTCACCCGGAACTTCCAGTTCGAAGACTTGGGTGGCTTCTGTGGCTGGGTCGAAAACGACTCCGCCGGCGCCTGCCCTGCCCCCTTCCCAGGACCCGTCAGTGAAAATGATGACAGGCTGCCCAGTGACGGCCAAGTCAAACTCGCGCTCGGGAGTCCCCCGAAGAAGAGCTATGGCAAGCCTGCACAAAGCTCTGATCTCGGATGTGGAACGACGCCCATCCAGCAACTTGGCAAATTCCTTGGATAAGAAGCGTAGTCCCTTGGCCATGTAGAACCCGGCGGCGAAGTTCAAGTGACCTTGCAGAATCGAAAGCCGCCCAGAGTCGACGCGCCCCTCGTCGCTGAACTGCTGGATCATCTCGACTAGCCTGTCGATTCTGCCTGGCTTGTTCGATAGGCGGAATTTGGCGGACCGAATTCCTCTCAGATCCACCAAGACCCCGAGGGCGACGAACGAGCCGGCGAATTGCAGGGCTTTGTCGCCGTCTTTGGAATGGGCCCATCCCAAGCAGTCGAGGACGGCCGATACCGCAGATTTCAGGACCGGAGCTCCCATGGCCGGTTCTATGATGGGGAAGTCGTCGTAGAACACCGTGGTAAGTGCAGCGAGGAACTTGACCAACACATGGTGCAACGCACGCGAGATCTTCAGGAATGCGTACACCGAGGCGTTGGAGCCGAATGGAAGCACGTCTGACCTGTAGTACTGCCACCCTTCTGAGGTCGGGAAGCCCACGACACAGAAGGGCCTCGAGGCTGGGTCAATCGGTACCTGTTTGTATGCTCGGGCCAAGTCAAGCGTGCCTCCTTCCCACTCTGACGAGGCTACGAGATGGTGTACCGGGTTTCCGTCACAGTGCCCCAGGTGCAGACTCGAGGCCACGTGAGCCACTAGGCATGCCAAGACGTCAATGTCCATCAGCTTGACTTTGTACGACGGGGAGAAGGCAGAGTTTAAACCCGATGCCTTGGCGTCGTCTATAACCCTAAGCTTAAGACTAACTCCCTGGTAAATCGGGAACCTGGGGTTGAGCAACCAATGCTCGGAACCGAAGTGCTGGTGGGCATCGCTCTCCGTGAGGGGGCCTTTCAGATCGCCCCTGCTGACCTCTTCCATGGAAGCCGAGACAAGGTCGTTCTGATGTTGGTCACTGGGGATCTTGCGAGACTGAATCATGGCTTCACGCCTGAGAGGAGCCGACGCAAGAAGGTTGTCCGGTGAGTCCGAGGAAGGTTCTCCTCCAGGTTCTAGATTGGGGACGGGCCCATGCGTCCCAACAAGAGGAATGCCTCTAGCCATCAAGTCGACGATCCCGCAATCATCGAAGTCGGAAGCCTTGAGGAGGGCCTTCCAGAGGCAAAGTTTCTTGGGACTGAGGATACTTGCCACGTCCGGGTCCAGAGACGATTTGAACTCGTCTTCTTTCCCTTCAAGCTCTTTGGCTAACTGCTTGATGGTTATCACGGCCTGCAGACGCCGTTTTGCCGTGTCGACCGGGTCGGTTGTCAACACCGTGTCCACTGCATCTTTCAGCACCGTTGGGAGAACTTGGCCAGGATTCCTCGGATGTTCGGTCTGCTTGGCTAAATTCAAGTAGTCTTGAGGGTTCCACTGTCGGCCGATGTTGACGCATGCAGTGGAAGAAGACTCAGGGATGCTGTCTTGGGAGATTGATACCCCCGATGGCAAAGAAGACAGCACGCGCTCGTGGGGCTGCAGAGTGGAGGTTGCAGGCACCCGGGCACACTCGTAGAACTCGGGGATGAGCGGGCGAGGGCCGCGGCGGACGCTTTGAGATAGACTGGCGGAAGCATTAGGCACAGGCTCGGGGAGCTGGTGACGCGTGGCCAGAGCCTGCGCCATGCGCAAGCAAAGCAAGCGAGGGTACTGCGCTTCCTCGGCAGTGGCGAAGCGCGGCCCGCGGCCTGTCTGGTCAATGGTCCACGGCGCATGGGTGTGTGAGGAGTCGCAAGAGGCCCGGAGGCTGCTGAAGAGGCCGGGGGATCCTAAGATCTTGGTGCATTCTTCGAGCTGGGCAAGGAGATGCACACGTTGGGATTCCTCGGCCATGACACGTAGCGCTGACCAGAGCCAGGATCGAGAAGGGTTCTCGAGGCTGACGGTGGCACCCATGCTGGCGGCGAGCTCCAGGACGTCCAAAGCGAACCAGTAGACGGCATTGGCTTGGCAGACACTAGGGCCTAGGGGGTGGAGCAGATTACGCAAAGGCCGCGGGGCGGGCCCAGGCACACCGTGAGGCAGAGCACGTTCGCGGGCCCGCGAACAGGTGCCACAGGGGAGGCCGAGGTGCACATGTGCAAGCGGCTGTGTGCGCATCCATCGGAGCAAGAGCTCTTGTTGCTGGGGGCAGCTGAGATCCAGCTGGCAGATGGAGTGCTGCGGGGAATGCGTATTCCAGTGGTGGTCGACCGCCAAAGTGGCAAAGCCAGCAGCGCGAAGAGCGGCCGACAGGGAGGCCGAGCCGGCGCAAAGTTCGACCGCCATTGGTCGCAGGCTAGTGTGCGGGACAGGAGGCAGAGCGTGTGGTGTGCCAGGGGCGCCACAAGAGAAGCCGGCGCGACTCAGAGTGTCGAGATCGGCGGGGCACAGGGTGTGCGCGTCAAGGGAAGTGAAGGCAACCAGAACGCAGCGAGTGCCCTCCCAAGGGAGTGTTTGGTGACGCGCCTCGGCAGCAGGAAGGAAGACTGGCCCGGAGGCCACATCAAGCACACAACCAGGCGTCACGACACCGTCCAAGAGGCGATGAGAAGTGCCGGAGGGGGACTCATACCACACGCCTCCACCTGAAAAGGCCGTGAGAGGGATGAGCAGGTTGGGTTGGGACGGCTGGTTAAGGGCGTCCAAATGCAGGGGAGCAGTCAAATCGCGGAAGATAGCGATGCTGGAGAAAGAGTGCGTGGCACAAGTAGCTCGCACAAAATCGGCAAGGGCCTTGGTCGCCAAAGGGAAAACACGGGTGTGGCGACGCAAGCCAGGTCCGCTGGAGTATGCAAAGGCTCCAGTGGTAAAAGACTTTGACTGAGGCAGCAGAGATGCAGCACGAGCCGGAGCCTCAGCAGGCAAAAGTTCAAAAAGCTGATAGGCTTGCTCGGCAGTCATAACAGAGTTGGCAAAGCGGGCCGCGAATTGCTCAGCAGGGTGACCGGCGTGGGGCGGCGAGACAAAATCGCCGGTCTGCAAAGGCTCGTGTAGTCACGAGTGGCTGCACTCGCAGGCCGGCTTATGGCGGTGGCATCCGATTTTCCAGCACACGTGGTAGCCGTTGCTGCAACGAGCACCAGGCTTCACATGAGAAGCGCGGCAGGTCCCCAGGTTGAACTTCATGCAAATGGGGCCTTTGGAAAAGCGAATGGTGCAGCCATCAGGCACTTGGATGCGAGAGCCGGCGCCGGAGCCTTTGCCTGGGCCCTTCGCAGGGGTTCGACCCAGTGACGCAGCAGGCGCAGGTGGAGCAGAGGAGGCACGCCTCTGGCTTCGTTTGCGCTTGCGGGCAGGCTGAGCAGCATGAGGCTTGGGAGGAGGGGTGTGAGAAGCATTTGCCAGCGGGAGGAAATGCCAGACGACCTCGGGGTGGTTGCTCAAATCCAGGATCAAATTGTCAACCAGCAAGGCACCTGTGGCGGCGTCACTGCGGCCCAGAAGCCCACGGCTGAGCCGAGACAGGCGAACCCAAAGGGCTTTGTCGGCAGCTAAAATCTGCTCGAGGCCAATAGGAGAGTAACGACTGGACGGCACAGGAGTCGCAAGACGATCAAAGAGATTCTGGGCCCAGGCGTCCAGAGCTTCGTAGGTGGCAACACCTGCAATATCGTAAGCCATGGCCCGCCGCTGAAAAGCGGCACGAAGGAGGTGGGCAGTGGAGATGTCACATTCACCACCCGCGGACTCCCGCGACACCTTGATTGCACCATCCGAGCCGAAGCGCAGAGAGGCGGAAGAGCGTTCAGCGAGGGCCTCTTGGTAACGGCTGATGCATTTGTTGAGCTGCAGGTATTGAAGGACGCCCTCATCGAACTGCTGAGATGCCTTGTCCACCAGGGCATGCGCAGGCTGATTGTGATCAGTGAAGGTGACCCCGACGAGCCGATTCTGTAGGCGAGAGCTGCGCTCGAGTTTCTCCTGTAAGCGAAGAACCTTCGGCTCGGAATCTGAGGTACGTTCAAGCTTGCTGCGCAGATCTTGAAGAGCCAGAGCCTGCGCCTCAAACGCAAGGCGTCGCAATGCAGTGGTCTGGTGAGCCGAGAGAGCTGAAGAGACGAGCGAGCTCACGTGACGCATAAGTGCAACATCGTCGATTCCACTGTTAGCCTGGTGTGGCTGACAGAAGGCAAGAGAGGCATATGTGTCAATGCCCCCGGTATGCAGCTCTTGCACAAAGGTCGCGGCCAATCCGAGCTCCAGGCAGCGAGCCTCGAAAGTAGCTGAAGAATCCAAGGCCATGGCGCAGCAGTCTGAATTGCCGTGGTGAGCCGTAACTTGGTGCGGGCACAGACCACAAGCTGAGGCAGAGGCAAAATGCGAAGGCTAGGCAAGGCAAGCACAAAGCGATTTTCTCGGCAAGGCACAGTCATGCAGCGGCGGAGAGCAAACGTGAGGCGCTGCACTGGCCACAAAATGCAGTCTGCTCAACATCAAGGTCGGCTGGGGAAACATGCTCAAAATTGCAAGAAATGGAGCGACCGCACATCAGACGCTCAGGTGAGTGGGGAGACTGCACATGGACAATACCGCTCACAGAGTGCACAAGCCAGGCGTACTCGTAGGCGGCGGCCGGCAGGGGAACTCGATCTCGATGTAGCGGCGCAGGAAGACCGGCAGGTTCATCATCGGAAGAAGAGCTAGATGCAGGTTCCGCGGAGGTCTGAGCAGAAGCTGGACGGGGTGCATGTACCTGCACCATGGAACGCAATCGGCCAAGAGCATCAGCATCAGGATTCAACTCGCCGGAGTCGATGGAAAGCAGCATGTGCCAGACCTTGGCCTGAAGACGAATGATGGCCTGGCGGTCGTATGTAGTTGCCGACCGAGTAGAAGCCTCAATGTGATGTCCAAGCAGTGTGCGTTCTTCACGAGTGAAGAGAGGGCTCATGCCAGCCCAGGCCAACAAGGTTGTTTTGCAGGAGTGGGCTCGAAGTGCCCGCACATCGGCGGGGTCAAGCTCATGAGAGAGGATCTCCCGCAACCATCCAGTTGCCTCGGAAGTAGTCATGGGATCACCGAGAGCCCACTTCTGCTCGCGTTCGTTCCAGGATGGTAGGCCCTGCGAGAGGTCGGACTCGGCTCGAAGAGTCTCAAGACACGCAGCCCATGACTCACAGCCCGGCCATTGACCTAAGCCAATGAATGGAAGGAGCTCGACCTGGGCCTCCTTGGAGTGTGCGGTCTTGTGCTGGGAAGTCGCGGACTCGAAGATGCTGAACTCGTTGTCAGAGAGCACCCGGAAGAAGGCAAGGAAGCGCAAGTCAGACCAACGTGCGACTGCAAAGATGCACGCAAGAAGGTGGCCAGAGATAATGCGCGTATGCAGAGGCCGGGACGGGTCGCAGCACCATGCCATCAGGAAGCGGATGGCACGAACAGTCAAGGCAGGGGCTTGCTGGCGCTTTTGTTTGCGAACATACATGGCATGCGCCACACCACGAATGCGGGCGCTGTCCACCTCACGCAGAGAGATCCGCTGGAAGCGAAACAAACCGTCAGCGAAGCGTAAGGCCTCCAAAGCGGAGGCGCCGGAGGTAGCACCACTTTCAGCTTCACGAAGTGAGCAGAGATACTCATAGAGCAGGGGCTCCGAAACCATGAAGGGGCTGCGGCCGTCCACGGAGGCCAGGTAGTGAGCCAAGCGCCAGAGAGAGCCTGTGCGTTTGCTGATGGTGCCAGTGGCCTTGGGCCGCAATGTGTCCTGAAGAACCAAGAGGGCTCGGTCAGGTTCCAAAATTTTGCCGAAGCACGTAGTCATCTGAATGCCGGTCTTGGTGGCCGACGGGTCAAGAAGCAACAAAGTCTTAAGCTGCACCAAGCAACGGTCACGAAGGGCTGCATCAGTGACACGAAAAGTGGCGGCTTTGATCCGGGCCAGGCTGACGTCAGGGGGAGCTGCAGCAGAGAGCTCGAGGGAATTCGTGGACGGGTCAGGGGGGGGGGGGATCGGTTGAGGCCGGGGACCAACTGGTGCAGGGAAGCGGGCGGTGGGCAGGGATGCAGGAGACCCAAAGACGAGGCCCCAAATGCCATGTTCGTAGGGAAGCTTCGGCAGGGACACATCACGTTGATACACCACGGCTCGCTGAACTTCGGAACTTAGGACCGGGCCAGGGTCCTGAGGCAGTGCAGAGCCCACACGTTCCCATCCATCGGATCCCGAGCTGCGTTCGGGGGCCGGATCTAGGCCGTGGTTGCTGTCAGCCAGATCTCCAAGGGGAGAACCGGCGCACAATGCAGCATTGAAGAAGGAAGGACTCCAGGATCTAGCATCTTCCGAAAGAAGAGGTGAATGCTCCTCGAAGAAAGAATCAGCACGCTCTGCCGCTTCAGCAATGCGAACGGAAGGACTCCGGGATCGAGCATCTTCAGAGGCTCGAGATGCCTGCAAACTCCATCGGCGGCGGAAGTTCACCATTGGCCCCGATCTCGAGAAGAAAACAGGCCATAAGGCAACAATGCAAAGGCAGCATGAAATGTTACCGGCACTTAGACATCACTTAAGTTTGAGCGGCACGTTTTGTCACACAGAGCTAAGTCGGCACCAGGCGATCCAGTCACGTGCGAGCCTGAACCAGTTCCTCGAGGCGGTCAAGGCGGCTGCTAAGAAGCATGCACTGCTCTGCAGAATTAGCGCGAAGATCCTCAATCGACGCCTTGATGTCCTGAACGGTGGCCTTCATGGTGTCAACAAACTCAGCGATGGCCCCGAACGGAACCCCAAAGTCTGGGTGGTGTCCAAGCACCATGAGCAGCTGCGTTTGACCAATGTTGAGGTTTGTCAGGCGGCGCTCAATAATCTCGATGCTGCTCTGCAAGAGCCGCACCTGTTCCGCAAGAGCAGGTGGTCCTTGGACCAGCAGCGGACTCGGTGCACGCCAAGGGCGGGAGCGCTCATCGGTCGAAGAAGCGATGGCACGGCGGTCGCGGCTGCGAGAGCGACTGGCATCACGCAGCCTAGCCGGGCCACGACGATTCAGTGTGGCAAGGTACTCCCGTTGTTCATCAGTCAAGGAGTCCATGTCGCTAGGGAGAACACCGATCGACTACACAGTGCAGTTAAGCTCTGGAACCTGTGCACAACAAGACGATGCTGGCAACCCCGCTGTCGAATGGAATCGGTGTTGCGAACAATGCAATCCGGAGCATCTCCAAGGCACACACGTTTTGGTGCTGAACCGAGTTATGGCTGGAGCTAACAAGTCCCGGTGCTCACGGCAGGCATCCAGCATGAGGCGGATCACGAGCCGAAGCATGGATCACCGACCTGAAAGGGCTGCCACGAAAGTCGCATAAGCCATGATAAGAAACTTGAGTCGGCCACGGCGACCCGAAACATATCATGGTTGGTGCCAAAGCCATCGAGCGGCCCGGAGAACCAGAGCCCCAGACCTGCGAGATCGCCAGGCCACGTGACTCACTCAACCCAGTTGCTGAGGAGCCCACGACGTGGCAGTCTGGAGGACCAGGGTCTCAGACCTGCGAGACCGCCACGCCAGATGACTCACTCAACCCAGTTGCTGAGGAGCTCGCGGCTTGGCAGGAGAACGCCAACAGCCACGGGGTGACGAAGATTCCCAGCTCCTGTTTGCCGAGATTCGGAACGTCGAACCAGGCGACTCGCTCAGACCGGTTGCTGAGGAGATCGCGGCTTCAACAGGAGAGTTGTCTCCTGCCGCAAAGCAGTCATGCCGATTCCCAGCCCAGTTTGCTGGGAGTGGAACTGCTGAGGGTCAGGCTGCGGAAGTCGCCGGAGCCAGGAGGACCCGACCTTCTTGACTGGACTCGTCACATCCCAGCACCAGTTTGCCAGGCGAAAGGCAGCCTGAAGTACAGGACGTCGATCACCAGACGGATCGACCTCCCGAAATATTTGCCAAACTCTGGCACCGGCTTGCCAGGATAAGATCGGCCTGAAGCTCACGATGTCGACAGCAACCTGCAACAAGGACCGAGTGACAGCTTACCAGGAGCACATTTCAACAGCCCGGGTTGCTGAGAAATGGGCCACCTCAGTACGTCAAGAGATCTGGCCTGCTCAAGCAAAGCTAGAAGAAGACTTATTGCAGACATCCGGAGCAAAGCTAGAAGAAGATTTATGGCAGACATCCGGACCTCGAAAGGGAGCGTCGACCCAGCAAAGCCAATGGGGCTTGAATCCCCCGCTAAGAATATTGGCGGAAAGCAAGACGCTCATAGCAGCACGTGTGTAAGCGCAGGCAGTTACGTGCATGAAACTGAAAGGCAGAGGCACACGGCCGGATTTCTCAAGCCTGGGACCAGGGATCCGGTGCACATGTGATATGGTCTGAACACAGCTACTGCTCGGGAACGTTCAGCAGGCGCTCCACTCGGAGCAAGCGAGCATGAAGACTACGCGAGAACCGGGGGTCGATGATTGACCCGCAAAAACTCTCAACGTCATCAAGACGGCCACTGAGGCCGCGCAACCAATCGCCATGGCCATCTGAAGCGGTAGCCGGCGGCTCAGAGGGAGCGCGATGCACGATTCGAGTCGGTGCCTCCCAGCTGGATCCGGCAGCCAAGGCTTCTTTGCGTTCATCGGAAAGACCAGCGAAGACGGTATGAGGGTCTCGTTCTTCACCGATATCTCCAGATTCCGAAGGCGTCAACGAAGCAGCATCGGGGTGGTCGATGTCATGGCGAGCCCAGGCTTGTCTGGCCAACTGCTCGGCCAGCGGTTCCTGCTGTGTTTGCATGTCCTCACAAAATTTGGCAAAAGCGACTTGATGAGCGAAGTCAGCAGTACGGGAAGAGATTTGCGGCCGATGCACTGCAAAACTGTCATGGACCCAGACGGCACGCCGGGTCAGGGCCCTATCCGTTGCCCCGGCTGAAGCAGGAGAAGACATGGTTTTCTCAGTCCAGCAGTAGGCGCAAAAGCTGAAGTGCACCGATGCAAGTAAATGCAAGCCACAGGTAGAGGCGTTGAAGCAGCAGGCGAAACCTGAGAAGCTCGGAGCGTTGACGCTCCTGTGTATCTTCTAGTCCTTCTTCAAGATCAAGAAACCGTCTTTCAAAGTTCAAGTGGATGTTGTGGCTCCCGGCTTGAGAAGTTTCAAGCCCGCGCAGCTGCACTCTCAAAGAAGAAATTTCAAGAAATGCAACGTCCAACCGACCACGTGCTTCGTGGATCCACAAGCGAAAGATGGCAAGTAACCGCTGAATGCGATCGATCAGGCCAAAAGCTTCGGAGAGGCCTGGCTGCATATACCCAT